CTGGGTTTGAGCTCATTAATACCTACTTGAACGGGGAACATCCCCTTAAAATTTCAGCCCCCAAGCGCTTCTGGTTCCCGAGTTAGCAGCTCACCCGTAAAAAATTTTGGCGGGCCCGTACGCGGGCACCACGCGGGTAATGGCGCTCTTTTGGAGAATGAGGCCAGTACGTGCCTGTAGATTAAGTTCCCAAAGTTTTAGCCCTGTAGCTTTCGTAGGTCTTGAGATGAAAAAGCGTGACAGACGCACACTCGGACACACAGATACACACACACACACACACGCAGCGGCAACCCCTCGTCAATATGCGTTTTCTGCATTGCATGGCTGCAAAAAACGCATAAAAACCACAGTTACACAATCAGTTCGCTTGAACGAGCAGTGCTTAGTTATTAGTACTAATGACATGTGGCTACATATCGAGCTTAGTTAAAAAAGGCCGCTTTTGCCTTAAGTCGTCAGATTCGGGCACAAACATTTAGGGGAATTTTCCAAGTCATCTGCTGATTCGTTAATACCAAATATTAGCAATGCACAGGAAAAGCCCAGAATATGAAAAAGTTTTTGGGAAGCGTTTAAAGACCTTCTCTCCGACTTTGTAATCCGGCGGTGCCATCTTGATTTTACCAATTGGAAGATGAACATCCGGTGCGTCCATTATGGGTGTTTTGTTTGTAAGTTTCAGTTGATCATCCTTCTGAACAATAAGTTGCCGGATAGGCTCGATAGTGTCAAGAGGAACCGGCTTACCGTGCCAGTTATTCTGCAACAATTCATTTTCATTACAATTTCCATGGCATCCGGCAAATATTTGCCCTCTTGGCTCTTCCTATCGGCACTATCTACAGTTCAATTTAAATCACAATATAGTTTCTAGTGAAGGATCTAGAGCTGCCTAGGCAATCGATGTAAAGATCCTATGTTACTGATATGAGATACTTCCATACGCCACGTGTAGCTATAACAAGCCCTTTGACCTTGGACTGGTTAGTACTTACTGTCTGGCTGATATACTTGCGTCAACTTATTATGCGTTTTGTGCTGTGTGACAGCAGCACAAAACG